ATTTTTTCCCATATAACGACTTTTCACAATAGAGCTTTATATAGGGAGTGGTCGAAAAAGTAGATCGATCCTAACCAATTTCAATAGTGTTCGTCCTTGGTTCCAGACACGCCACCGCACGAAATTTCATCAAAATATCTCAAAAATTGGGACCTGTACTTGACACACAAATATATATAGACAGACATCTGTTGGGCAGACAGACTTCAATCAATTCAGATTATGATACTGAACCGAATGGTATTCTAAAAAGTGGTCCTCTCTTAAGACTTTGTGAGTCTTACGTACCTCTGCACTAACTTAATATATCCTGTACCACAAGTGATGTAGGGTATAATAAAGTTTTAATGCTTTATATTATGAGTGTGGTTGCCTATTTCTATTTATAGGCGAAAATATCGACACAATGGCCAATGCCCCGTTCCACTGTAACTTAAGAATAGTGAATAAAATAAATTATAAACAATTTTTTTTTTTTAAATAAGCTTTTATTTTAAAGAAATGAAAGACGGAATATATAGTTTATCGCAGCCACTTTATAAAAGCATAAATATGAGGCTTGGGGAGTTTATTTTTAATATGCAAGACACTGACTTGTTCCAAGACTCCCAAAATTTGCTTTTGTTTGCTTATTATGAATTTGAAACAACAATTGTTGCATAATTTTTGTCAATCTGTTACGATTCGCCATCTTCTCTCCGATCCCTCGATTGTTATCCCGGGATTGTTAAGCAAAAATTATTCCACCAATTCGTATTAACTCACTTAGCTTTTTTACTTATATTAAATTGATTGTACTGCTAGGAAAATCGAACTCTACGCTTTGCGAGGTCCAGAGCATGGACATTGTACGAAATAATTTTCAACATTCTGTCTTGTACAACTTTGTAACTTAGTGTGGGCGTGACGAACGTTTTCTATTGTTGAATATGAATAGTAGGGTCGTCCATAAAGTCAATATAGCATTTTTCAGCTCTATATGTGTGTAGCTCTATATTTGTATATAGATACATACTACGCTTGGAGGTTACAAGCATTATGACAAAAGTGGGAGTGCAACCCCATCTTCCGGTTGTGGATATAGGATTAAGATGTTCTTGGAAGCTTGCACATTTTCTAAGCAAAAGTTAACAAACCGTTGACAAACAAGGATTTTCTTATATAAAGTGATGATAAGCACCAGACAAACAGTTTACAAAGGAAAATTATGGCATTTGAGCTAAAAATCATGGTTAGCATAAAACAATTCAAACGATCACAGAAATAGTGAATTGTTGTTGCTGTAAGAAATAAAGCCAATGGAAATCTTTGGGACATTTATCTTTGCTTAAAGGAGAAAAGGCAAACAATTTTTCTTTGCTTGTGATAATCTTTAAGTTATCTTTTAGGGAGCCCAGCATGCAAATGCATGACTTTTTATGCTTATAGCTCAACATGATAGTAGCCATTGTTTCTTTCACATGACTACTATCCTCATGTATCCATCTTCATAAACCCCTTAAAGCTAACCCACATTTTAGCGGAAACATTACATTTGCTTACAACTCACTTACGTTTTCGAAAGTTTTTCCAACAACTTTGCCAACTGAGTTTTCATGCATAGATATTGGACTGGTTTTCAAAAAACCATCTACACCATGTAGTGAAAATTTTAGATAAAATTTGATATAAAAAAATGTTGATACCATCTTAAAATTATTGATAGTTTATGTTTGCATGTTTGATGGGAGGCTGGTCTGTTATTGTATTTTATTTTGCTTTTCGGTTATTTGTCTTATTTACAAGTTATGTAATTAATGTTAACTGACTTCTTTGGCGAATTTTTTTCTTTTGCTCTGTAACTTCCGGGTTACATCTTCATGTCGAAACCAAAACACAAAAGCAAAAAATCCAACTATCCTATGTTGTTTTTTTTTTTTTTTTTTTTTTGCCAAGTGAGTCTCTTTTGAATTTTAGTTATACTCCTCAGCTGTAAATTATGCTAAATTTATGCTTGTGTTTGTGACTTCAAGAGTGTTCCTGAAGTCTTGATCATCAAGTTTATAAGCTGCCGTTGCCTATAACACTTGTGGGTACTTGAAGTGCATCTATGCCTTACTGGTCTGTTTTTTTTCTTTTTTTTTTTTTTGTGAAGGTAACGTCATAGACACCATAGTACATACTGCACATTATCGTAAAATTTTTTCATCACAATTGGGTTTCCAATGTATAGTCGCAGCCAAGCAAGCTTATATAATAGATTAGCTTACCTGTTTTTCTTCGTGCATAAAATCCTTTCAAAGCATAAAACAGTGAAAAAGAAAATAAAAAAATTAATCCGCAATTTTTTATCAAATAAAAATGCTTCATATGAAGTTTTTTTTTTAAATTTTATTTTCATTTATTATTATTATGTATGTATGGTGTTTATATTAAAAGATTTTGCATCAACTTGGAATTGGTTGCTATAAAAAATATTAATAATAAAAATAAAAATATTTCAATTAATCAAAGTTGAACATATATTCAGCTGAAGTGATTGTAGTGATTAAGGTTACGTTTAGTTGTTTAATCTAATGCCATTATATTAGATGCTTGAAATAATTTTAATCAGCGACTTCTAAATATAAAAAATATCAAGGTACATAACAGTCGAATTCGATGGCCTTGACCGTCCTCTGCATAAAATAACGCGACACGATTTTTTGTGAAAATCGCATTTTTTGGCCGGTTGTTGCCAGAGTTGTTCAGATTTTCAAAGGCACTCAGTTTTGAATTTTTTTTTCTTTTTTCCAAAAGAATTCGCAGAAACATTTTGATGAAAATTGTATGGAACAAAATCAACAAACTAAATGGGACTTCACATACGAGTCGAAATTTCTTCTATCTGCGCTGCCAACGGAGTTTGAACGGAGGCTGAGATTCTTTAGCAGCACTTCTGTGTCTTCATTGAAAATAAAAGATCTTCGATTTCTTTATCGAATGTTGGTTCTGTTAACAGATGCGACATATCCATGGAAAACCCTATATCAGCCATAAAACTTGAAAGGTGTCTGCTTAACCCACCGCTTGCAATGCATTTCATTTGAGTAAAAAATAATTACTGAACCTACATCATACATTGTTTTTGACTGGCCACATCCGCAACATATGGAAACTTGCAGCAATTGTTCTAATTCCAAATGTCTCCACTGCGTCGGACTATCGGCCAACCTCTCCGCTAATGTATTTCTCAAAGTTATTGGCAAAAATTATGTCACTTAGCTTAGCTTGGTTTCTTGAGCCATAGAACGGGATTACAAGGCAACAAGCAGGTTTCAGCCGGGGTAGAGGTTGTAATGGCACGTCTCTGAACATCGGACAATGTACAACCTAAGTAATTTCTGAAGAAGATTTTTATTACAATTCTCTGATTTGATATCGAAGCTGTACGTATTTGCAGCGTGAAACTAGAATAAAGCAAAGACGTACTTTTGGCGTTCAGATCAGACAGCAAAGTGAAACGTTACGAAGAAACAATAAGTTTCAGAATAGCATCGAAGGCAAGGAACACTCTTTGGGCGAGTACGAGAGATACCGCTATTCAAACATTTTCTGGGTATGCATTGGGTTGACTGTATAAGACAATATATGTGTGGAATTTTGCGTCTGTTGTAAACTGGCCGGTTTAGCAAAATGATTCGAGAATCGCGAGATGATTTACCAAAGTTGAGTCCATGGAAGGTGAAATTGTCCGAAGAAGGTGAATGAAGGAAATCAGCAGGGGCAACAAGCGATGAAGCTCCGTCATGTTCATGTTCATGACACACAACAATAAAAAATCTATACATGCAAGAACACAATGACAACAACCCTTATCCCGACCTTGCCCGCAGAACTAAACTCAAATGTTGGAATTGCTACCTAATAGGCCACTACACGCGCATAATACACAAAACGAGCCAAAAATGGTGAGCAGAAAAAACCCAACGCGCTTGCATATATAGTTCTGACAGCGATAGACAACAACAACAACCTGCTTAGCAACACTCGGTGCCCTCTCATTTATACTGTGATAGAGAATTGTTTGCTTCATTTGAAGGGCGTGGTGTACTAATTCTCGCAGAAAAAGTGTAATCTATTCCACAAGGATTTCATTTCATGCCAGAAGAATCCTGAAGTATTTGAGTAAGAGAAGGTATATGAAAATGCTGAACCACTTTAATGCTACGGTATGTTGATGCTGATATAGTGAACTCGTGGACGCTATTGTTCTAGACTACTTTCCTGGTCCTCGAAAAAACAGGACACGGTTGCTTTGAGTAGCACCAAGGCGAAATTTATGGTTTCTTTCGTCTGCATGCAAAGAGGCTGTGTATTTAAAACGATTATCAAAGAAAATCGACTGGCGATGTCCCGGGAGAATTGAAATGAATTGTGACAAGTTGGCTGTGATATATTTGCCAAACAATCAAGTTCACCCTAACACGACCAAACGTGTATATATTCGCTACCATGAGTAGCACAATTAGCACAGATGTGTTCCAGAAGGGTTTGATTGATTCTAACCCGAGTTTTCGTAGTTTTCAATTTATTTCTTTATTAGCATGTAAGTGGAAAATGACTCGCTCGCAATAAAGTTGTTAAAGTAGATCCATCATCGAGTTTTCTTTCTTTCGGGAGAGAGTAATCATTTAAAAAATGCATTCCAAGCATACAAAATAGAAATTTTTTTATTTATTCGTTTTAATGTAGAAACATTTTTATTTATTTTTTTTTCTCATTTATTATTATTATTATGTACAGATTCGTATTTATATCAATTTTCATTTATATTAAATCGAGTAAAAACAAACAAAAAAAATTAACTCTCAACATTTTACAATCGAGAGTCTATGACTAATTTGTACAACTTAGCTTAAGATGTAACAAAACAAAATATCAAAAATAAACTAAAAAAAATTCAATTTTAACGAAAACTCTTAAGTATTAAATAATAAAATAGGGACAATTTAACCAAAAATGAACAACAAAAGAAACAACAACAAAAATGAAATTTTTATTATACTCTTGTGAGTGAATGAAATTTTTGCGAATTTTCCATTTGCCAATTATGATAATAAGAACGTACTAGAATAGAATGAAGCAGTCGGTACACTTATGTGTATTTTTTACTAAGTGTTGAACTTTTCGTTTTTATTCAATCCCATCCATGGCTGACGGGCACCCATACTTTCTCCCACACTGGTTTCCATACACGTTTCCATTCTTGGACTTTGGCTTCTTTCCACACGGGTACTTGAATAGCCTTCCATTCGTCCTTCCAGGCTTGTTTCTTTTCGGTAGCCCATGCCTGTTTCTTTTCCGTACGCCAAATTTGCACTTTCTCTTCTATCCACGTTTCACGTTTCTCTTTAACCCAAATTTGTTTCTTGGCCGGTTTCCATATTTGTATCCATTCAATTTTCCATTCAAGTTTCTTATCTGGCTTCCATTCTTGCTTCTTTTCCGTCTTCCACTCTTTAATTTTTTCCGTTTTCCATTCTTGCTTCTTTTCAATTTTCCACTCTTGCACCTTTTCAGTTTTCCAAGCTTGCACCTTCTCTGTCTTCCATTCCTGCTTCTTTTCGGTACGCCAAATCTTCTTCCAAACTGGTTTCCAAATAAGTTTCTTACGCCATAAATCATGGCTGGTGTACTCCCATCCATCGTGATCTTTTCCTAAGTATTTTTCGCCCGGTATGCCCATTTTAATCCATTCGGGCACAAACATTTTCTTCCACGCAGGCACTTGCACTTCACGCCAAACCGGCACTTGTACCTCTTTCCATATCGGCACCTGTATTTCTTTCCATATGGGCACCTTAATTTCTCGCCACACGGGCACTTGTATCTCCTTCCATACGGGTATCTGTATCTCGCGCCATACCGGCACTTGTATCTCACGCCACACTGGCTTTGTAATTTTCTTCCATTCCGGTACTTTTATCTCTTTCCAAGCGGGCACTTCACGCTCTTCAATGTGTGGCTTTTTAACAATTTTCCAGTCGGGCACTTGTACTTCTTTCCAAATGGGTACTTGCACCTCTTTCCAGATTGGTACTTGAATTTTCTTCCATTTCGTCTCCCAGGCTTGTTTTTTTATCGTCTTCCATACTTGAACCCAGTCTTCCTTCCAAACGAGTTTTTTCTTCCACACTCCTTCAGGCGCATGGGCAAATGTTAGACTCAGCACAATAGCACAACTGGCACCAAAAAGCTGTCATAAACGAAGAAGAAAAGAAATAAAGAAAAACTAAACACACATTAAAATTATGGGAGAAGTGGGGAAGGGGGGAGGACAAGGGGATTGCTTTTCATCAAAATAGATATATAATAAAATTTTTTTTTTTTTTTGTAAACTCGAATTTTGTTTCGAAGAACACTTTTATCATTGCCTGCAGCTTCGTTTGATGATAGGAAAGCGTGTAAATGAAAGATGTTGTATATAAAAATAAGCAGCGTTGCTTAAAGTCCATTGTTTTTTTAAGTAAGGAGCAATCAGTGAGCCAAACTTTTAATTAAGTATCGTTCTAAAATTTGAAGCCATCTCTTGATGTCGTAAGAATAATTATTAATTCTGTGGCAATGTTCGAAAGTCTTTGACTGTACCATCGTAATCCCTTGTGTAACTAGTTGATTACCTAATATGGTTAAGGTACTATGCCGTGGCCCTACTTCCATAAACACTAATAACTTAATAATCTGCCTATAAACATGTGTATATTCACATAGAGCTCAAAAGCCCATGTCTGGTTAAATGCAAACTATTTCGACATTTGCCAGGATGATATACTAATTGATTTACAAGATCTACCAATGGACGTAATTTTAATAGGAAACTGACTAATTTTCACATACTAATGATTATCCAATAACCGTGCTAAGAGGATTGTATCTCTCTTAGTTTTCATATGTACCGCTTGCAGTTATATATAAGTCTGTCGTAGATGGAATTTTATATTAGATGGGCGAATATGACACTGTCCTGTTACTGGGAGAGAGAGAGTGAGAGAGAGAGAGAGAGAGAGAGAGAGAGAGAGAGAGAGAGAGTGTGTATAGGTAGCACTGTAGATTGGTGAACAAAACAATAAGTTCTCCATTCTCGTGTTGTTTTTACGCTATACGCAACTCTATAAGTTATCACTTTAAAGCCTCTACTCTTGAAATTCTCAATTTTTTGCAATTCTGGGTCCAAAAAGTGTCATTTGGGGGAAACTTTTCCGACGTAGTTCGAAGGGTAGAGCTGCTAAACACTTACAAGTTATAAGCATTGGATGCGTTATGATATCAAATAACCACGATGCAGACCGTTTTGAAGGAGCAGTTGGGCATTAAATGAAATCATCAGTAGAGAGCGTTAAGAACCACAGGGGATAAAATGGTGACGAAAAATGGGAGCAATATGCAAAAAGTCATGATATCGTGAGCCTTAGCAAAACTCACCCAGCAATTCTAACCTCGATTAGTGTACCCTACAAGCTGTTATCAGTTGATATATGGTTTCATGAATGAGTTATTGTTCCTTCGAAGGATGCTTAGATTCTGATGAATATATCCAAACATTGGTCTTCTTATGAATGGGCTCAAGAGACCAATTGTTCTTTCTGCATAGAATACGTATTATTTCCAATAGATAGCAGAAATAGTGCCTAGCGACAGACAATGATTAGAAACGAAATGTTCTCTCATCATCGTTGCTTAGCCATCTTTGTCGAGAAATTTTGAAAATTGCAATTTTATTCCATATACCGACTTTTCAGAACTGGCCATGACATAAGGAGTGGCCAAAGAAGTGAAACGATCCGAAATATTTTCAATAGCATTTGCCTTTGTACCACAATTTTATAAAAATATCGCAAAAATTGCGACCTATAGCTTGAACACTAATTTACATGGACAGATCTCACACGGACAGACAAGTAGAGTAGGGTATAAAAATTGATTTTGATTGATTGATATAACAACTGTTCGATAAAGAATATAACTGAAATGTGTCATGGAGCCATTTACTACAGTTCGACGCAGAAGTGCGTAGCTTTTTATAAATATGCCTAAGTGGACTGAATTTGCATTATTACTATTTGAAGGCAGAAGTAATGTATTTGTTTGAATCGATTAGGGATTTGAACAAAGAAACGATTGAACTAAAATTGTATCTATACAGAGCAGTTAAGAAAAATTTGAAACGAGCTATAAATGCAAGTGCTTTTAGAACGAATCAATTTATGAAATATTGGCGATTAACTAGCACAATTAATTCAATCGGATATTTAACGTTGAGACCCATCTATCAATCTCTCCTTCCAAGCAATTTCATTATGAAACGAATTGCAAACGCTATCCTAAGCACTTTTTCTACTCTTTCACTCTTTCACCCAGATATTTGCCAATATTTCGTATATACAGACCTACATATGTACATATGTGCATTGTATTTATGTATAAATTTTTCAGTTGCTTTTGCTTGTCTTGATTTTATCAAATTTTACACTACAAGTTTTTTCATGCTTTTGATTATTTCCGTTTCATGGCTAATATGTGATCTTAAGTTTGTTGTTAAATTTTATAGCATTGAAATTCTTGAATTCAATGGACAATAAATTATCATACATATATATTTATATGGATATATATCCGTTAATTATTAAAAACAAAATTATGCA